CTCACTCTCCCTAATTCATCCTTCAATCAAACCTAAAGGGAAACCTAAAATGGTGGGAAGCTCAATCGAACGTTTCTGATGAAGGGTTATGTTTCACAACCTTAGGGATATGTCCCTGTGATATTCATACCTTCATACAATGTGAGAAAAATGAGCAAAGAGAGGGAGAAAGATGACTTACTGAATGGAGCGACGCCGGCAGCTTCTTCAGGTCAAAGGATGACGTTGAGAAAAACCAAAAGCTTCCCGGTATTTTCGTTCTTTTTTCTTGATTTTCTGTTGTTGTTTTGCTCGTTGATGCTGTTGTAAATGGAGACTAGGGTTTTGGTTGAGACATTTGGCTTTTGTAATGGTTTTGAAACTGTTGGTTTCTTGAGAAAAATCTGGTTTTTGTAATTATTGCTTATATTGGCTCTGTATGCTGTTTTTTTTTTTGCTAGGGTTTTGGTTGAGCTTGTGTTGATGTTGTTGGTTTTTGGTTTATGATGTTTGTCTAGGATTTGAGACAAGGGTTTATATCAGTTGGTGTTGATGTTGCTGGTTTTTGTCTATGATGTTTGTTCAAGATCTGAGACAAGGGTTTTGGTGAGCTTGTGGTGATGTTGCTGGTTTTTGTCTATGATGTTTTTCTACCTTGGTTTTGTATCATGTTCTGTTATATGCTTATGCTGGCTATTTTTTGCTCTCCTTCTCTCTCTCTCTCTCTCTCTCTCTCTCTCTCTCTCTCTCTCTCTCTCTCTCTCTCTCTCTCTCTCTCTCTCTCTCTCTGATGTTAATGCAGAACCTCTCTTTTATATTCACTGAGAGTTGATTTTGGGGGGAAGTATTGGCGAGTTTGAATGGATTTGATATGCTGATTTATGGCTTTTGAGTGCAAGTTGACATCTTTGCCATTTTAGTGTAAGTTTGGGCAGGTTTTGACTTGCTTTATGCAGAGTTGCAGCAGGTTTTGGACTGTATAAGGGATGTAATAGGCTAGGTGATATCTTTCTGATTCTTTTTCTTCTTTCCTCTTTCATCTTTTCATGATGCAAACTATTTTGCCTTTCTTGAAAATTCTGAAGGATTTTGCATTTTTTAGGAACATGATGACATAAGGGTCGGGAATCAATGTTAGCTTACATTTGAATTGATGTTGTGCTATTTGCTTATGCTGCTTTGCATAGCAGCTTGTTGCTGCCCTGTTTCGTTTTTGCTTAGTATTGCGCCTGCTGTTTGCAGCCTTGCCCTGTTTTTTTTTTTTTTTTGCTTTGTGTTGCGCCTGCTGTTTGCAGCCTTGTTTTGTTTGTTACTTTGCTGTTGTTTTTTTGTAATGTTTGAAAACTTCTTTTTCCCTTTTGTGAACTAAAAGATCAAAATTTTGTGATTTGCAAAAGTAGGAGATAGACCATGATTAAGAACAAAGCCCTTCTAGTCTGATTCCAAATACAAAACCTTATGATGAATTTGCAAAAAGAAAACTTTGAACATTTCTTGTTTAAGCTTCAATATTTATGTGTTAATCATATCTTTTTCTTCTTTGACTTGTTGCATGTGATGGTATGGAGAAACAACAAGGCGATTTATAATTGGAAGTCATGGATAGGCTTGAAGGGAAATGATGATGTCTTGAAGGAATGGGGCTGCCATGAAGCTTGAAGAATATCTCGAAGATTTTGGGATGATTTAAACATGTTTACGACTTAGGATTAGGCTTTGGATGTAAAGTCCCTTTACCACTTTTAATTTGAAACTAATCTTGGAATCATAACTTGTAATTTGCAATTTACAATTGTAACTTGAATTTGATCTTTAAAAAAGTCTTGGTAATCATTTGGGTGAAACAAAATAATGCCCTTGTAGTTTCCTTTCTAAACTTAAAAAGTTTCTTCCATTTCGAATCTTGAACTAAAGACAAATTCAAAATAAATGAATTATGCCTTGTATGCTTGAACTGATTTGAAATCAAGGGCATCATTTGAATGGATCCTCAAATATCTTTCACTAAAACTCTATGTCACATCTTCAATTCATAGTAACTCGCAATACAAGTCAAATAGTGTCTTAAGAAAACTCGATCAAAAATCCATTGTAACCTAATAAACACCAATGCTCAAACACCAATGACTTGAAGTCAGTGACAAAAAAACAAGGAATCCCCGATCTCAACATAAGAATCAATATCTTTGAGAAAATAAATATGGCAGGTGTTGAAATTAGAAGTTAAAAAACATTCTAAATCAAGGAAACGATCTATGACAATTTGATAACTCCCAGGGTCTTCTAAGCATTATTTTACTTTGATTCTTAAAGAGAACTTGTTGATGACATCACTTAGGACAATGTGCAAAAATAATCGTCTCAAAGTCTTCTAATTTGAAGAAATAACAATCAGACGACCGTTATTTTAAATTAGGTCAAAATTCAAGATGTGACTTCTAACGCATTCGAATTTTAGGTGATCTTCTACATGTAATCAGCTCTTGATTTGTGAAGAGAAATTTGAGGTGGCATCAAGGAGGATCATATGCAAGAAAAAACCGCTCAAAAATATTGAATAATGAAGAAGTTAAGATCGTTTGAATTTGTTCTCGCAAAAGGGTTAACTTTGGGGTTGTTGTGGTCATTTTCGGTCATCTGAACCATTGGTTGAGCAAACTTGCACTTGAGGGCTCAATTTTCTTTGAGAATCGCCAAACCCTAATTGTTGATTATTTTCCTAGGAAGAGAATCTGCTTTATCAACTTTTGAGCCAAATTGAGTGTTTGAGAAACCCCGGGATAACATCTTGAGTGGAAAATGGGAGGGCAAATTTTAGGGTACAACAGTGATGATGAAATCACACCAGGTAGAGAATTAGTTCATTTTGCTTTACTTGCAGGTGTTGAACCAATCAACTATAGCGAAGCTTTGAAGATTAACAAGTGGAAGTTAGCTATGATCGAAGAGTTACAGGCAATCGAAATAAACAACACATAGGAGTTAGTCGAATTGCCAACACATACAAAAGTTATCGAAGTAAAGTGGGTGTTTAAGTTGAAACACAATGCAGATTGGTCAATAGAAAGACATAAAGCAAGATTAGTAGCTCAAGGTTTTCTTCAAAGAGCTGAACTCAACTACACTGAAGTAGTTTCTCCAGTAGTAAGATTAGAGACTGTTCGACTAGTGGTAGCATTGACATGAAACCAAGGTTGGTCGATATTCCATCTAGATGTGAAATCAAAATTTCTGAATGGTCATTTAGACGAAGAAGTTTATGCCACACAACCTCCTGGGTTTATGATCCAGAAGGAAGGGAGTAAAGTATATAGATTTCATAAAACGCTCTATGGCCTCAAGCAGGCACCTAGAGCATGGAACAAGAAGATCGACTCATACTTAGTCGAATTAGGATTTGTCAGAGTATGGTTTCTATGTTCAGGTTGTAGCACAAGATATAACAATAATTTGCTTGTATGTTGATGACTTGCTAGTAACTGGAAAAAGTTTGGAGAACTTGTCGAAGTTCAAAGAGCTAATGATGAAGGAATTTGAAATGTCGAATCTAGGAAAATTGTCTTATTTTCTAGGCATGGAAGTTCAAATTTCGAAGCAAGGTATGGTGTTACATCAAAGAAAGTATGTCAAAGAAATACTCAAGAGATTCATAATGGATGATTCGAATCCTGCATCCTCACATGTCGAACCAAATGTGAAGTTAGAGAAGAATGGAGAGGAAGACAAAGTCGATGTAACTTTGTTCAAGCAAATTGTGGGATCTCTGAGGTATGTGTGCAACAGTCGACCTGATATAGGTTTCATAGTCGGATTAGTAAGCAGATATATGAGTGAACCAAGAGTGTCACATATGAAGGATGCAAGAAGAATCTTGAGATATTTGAAGGGTTCAATAAATTGTGGAATACTATTTCGACGAGATTCTGAAGGCAAAGAAGCAATAGTTAATTGTTTTTCAGATGCTGATTGGTGTGGAGATAAGGAAGGCCGAAGAAGCATAACTGGATATTTCTTTCAAGTATTTGGTGCCCCAATCTCATGGTGTTTGAAGAAGCAACATGTGGTGGCATTGTCATCGTGTGAAGCTGAATATATAGCAGGATCCTATGTTGCATGTCAAGCAATTCGGATCAGATCTGTACTTGAAGAAATGACTGTGGAAGTGAAGGAACCTCTAGTATTGCAAATCGACAACAAGTCAGCCATAAATCTGGCGAAGAATCCAGTTCTGCATGGAAGAAATAAACATATTGAAGCAAGATTTCACTTCTTGAGGGAAAAAGTAAATCAAGGTGAACTTGAAGTTAGGCATTGCTCAAGTGAAACACAGTTGACCGACATTTTCACCAAAGGATTGAAGATCGACAGATTCCTGAATTTAAGAAAGAAATTAGGAATAGTTTAAATTGACTATTTTTGAGAATGTTCGACAACTTGGATTATGAGGGTGTATTGAAATATTAAATTAGATTTGTTAAAATATTATATTAGATTAGATGTGATTAGATTTAATATTTAAATATAATCCAAGTTGTGTTAGTCCAAACTCAATAATTGTATAAATAATCATATATCATTATTAGTATAATTTAATAATACAAATCTTTATTTACTTTATTATTTTCTCTCTTTCTCTCCTCACTAAAAGTGTCTCACACAGTAACAATTTTTAGTAAAAAAAAAAAAATAATAAAAACCTACAAACAAAAGATGTTCACAACGAAAGAAGGTCTTTGTCTATTTGATCATAATTTTAGAAAAGTTAGTGCACTTTTTGAGTGTTTGTATAAATTGAAGAGATTCATCTCAATTTTTGTTTTAATTGAGGCAGAAACATAACCTAACAACATCATACGCCCAAACTGAACCGAAACCTTGGAATAGAGTTTTTCTCCAAAGTGGACCCCGTTATATGGTGGTGTTTGAACTTTGAAGTTTGATCCAAAAAAATTCATATTCAAACGTTCCCTTCCACATTAAAACTTCTATCAAATTCCCCGCATCTCACAAACTCACTTAAAATGGCAACCCCATTTCCCTTACTTCTTCTCCTTCTCTTCCTGCAGCGTTCCACCGCCGCCGCCGCCGCAACAAACAATATCGGCGTCAACTACGGCACCATCGCCGACAACCTCCCACCACCCTCCACCGTCGCCTCATTCCTCAAAACCCAAACCACCATCAACCGCATAAAACTCTTCGACGCAAACCCCGCCATCCTCCGCGCCTTCGCCAACACAAACATCTCCGTCACCATAACAGTCTCAAACAGCGACATCCCTTCCCTCACCAAACTACCCTCAGCCCAATCATGGATCACAACAAACATCCTCCCTTTCCACCCCGAAACCGCCTTCAACCGTATCGCCGTCGGAAACGAAATCCTCGCAACTTCAGATAAAGACCTCATCGCCCACATTCTCCCCGCCATGAAAGCACTTCACCAAGCTCTCACACTCTCAAACCTCACTCATATTCAAGTCGTATCACCTAACTCACTCGGCATTTTATCTTCCTCGGAACCACCGAGCGCTGGAAGTTTCCGCCATGGCTACGACCGTGCTATCTTCGCTCCCATTCTGGACTTTCATCGTCAAACTAATTCTCCTTTCATGGTTAACCCGTATCCGTTCTTCGGTTTCTCTCCAACCAAACCCGAAACGTTGAACTATGCACTTTTTAAACCAAACGGTGGCGTTTTTGATAAAGCAACTGGAATAAACTATACGAATATGTTTGACGCTCAGATGGATGCGGTTTATTCGGCGATGAAGAAACTTGGGTATGATGACGTGGAACTGTGTTGGAACATGTCCATGTTCCATATTGAATTAAAAAAAAAATTCATTTAGTCCCACATTGCTCATGTGAGAAATATTAACCATCTCACTTTATTATATAAGGAAGTCACTTGTTTCCTTACAAAACACACCAAAAACATTTTATTAGTTTTTCCTTCCTCACTCTCATAACTCTGCGTCTTTCGAATTGTCGAAGCGCCAACTTCTTCCCCTTTCTTTCTACTCGTTGAATTTTCCGAGTATTTTCTTGAATTCTCTTTATAGAGAATAATGTTAATTTCTCCTCGTTTGAGTTGAGAAATTTTCAAGTATAATTTTTTTATTCTCTTTAGAGAATTATTCGAATTTCTCTTTGTTTGAGAAATCTTTGAGTGATCAAAAATGATCATTATTGAATTCTCTTTGAAGAATTATTGAAATTTCTCTTGGTTTGAGAAATATTTATGACTGGTAAATATATCAGATACTACGGTGGTATTTATACCATATTTGAATGGTCTTAGTACCATTAGAAGGTGTATTTCTAGACCGATTATCTATCGTGCAAGTAGTAATCGTACAGTATAGAACTGGGCTGTTTTATCCTGGAGGCGGCGTGGTAGTTCGACTGCTTTGCATAATTTTGGGCAGTACCGCGAAACGTCTTAAAGAGAGCGAACTGATCCGCGACTCAACCCGGTAATTTCTTCAGTGGCAACATTTTTTAAAATCATGAACCAACAATTTTAAGACGTTTCAAACTGCCATGGTTATTGAAGAAATTATCGGTACTTCTAAGATTGTCTCGGACAAACCGTTCTAGTTTGAAGGAGTGCATTTCAAAAGTTGGCAACAAAAGTGAGGTTTTTCCAAACCATAAAGAAGTTTGTCAATATTTTGACCGATGACATTCCTACTGTTCCACTTGGATCAGTTGAACAAACGAATAGAAAGAAATCTATGAACTTAGATTGAATTATTAATTTCAATGAATCTGAATTTACAACATAGATTAAAGAGAAGGATTTACAGCTAAAGGAAGAAATCTCCTTATAGAAAGAGAATGATTATAACATTCTAAATGGACTCGCAAATGATCTATATGATTATTACAATAATTGCGATACTCCAAAACAAGTTTACGAGGCTATGAAAAACAAGTATTGAAGAAGCTGGAGAACAAAAGAATGATTTTAGCAACTACGAAAAGTATCAGATGGTAGATGAAAGATCTGTGGATACTCAAAGTTATGAACTTCAAAAAGAATTCTCATGAGGTCATCACTAAAGGTATGTATTTAGATGTATTTTTTTAGAATCTGATTATTCTCCTTGAGTTAAAAAAAGAGGAATCTTAGAGACAATATCTAGAAGAAAAGTCTTGGTTGTTTTTAAACAACAAATAAAAATTCGGTGTAGTTCTGAAGCCATTTGGAAAATGATTAAAGAATCAGAACTGCAATGTTGTGATCCGAATTAAGAATGAGATCCTTTCTATGGTCTCAATTGCTCCAACTAGGCAACAATCACCACCTCAAATAAATGATGTTGTTTTCCATTGTTTTAACCATGGAAAATCATGTCGTAAGATTAAGAAATGTAGAAGAGGCTTGAACCTGGTGCTACCCCTAATGCATAGGTCAAACTGACTAATGGGAAATTTATTTCTATGATAATTGAAATCAACACGGTTGATGAATTTGATGATTGGTGGATAGACACTGGTGTTTCTCATCGTGTCTGTTATGATCGTGTTATGTTTAAAACATACACGAATACTAAAGATAAGAAAGTGTTGTTGGGATATGTCCACACCACTAATGTTGCTAGAATTGGAGAAATGGAGTTGAATTTCACCTCCAGAAAGACTTTAATCTCGAAGGACGTCATACATGTTCTTGAGATTAGGAAGAATTTTGTTTCTGGTTTTCTTTTATATAAGGCATAGTTTAGTCAGTCCATTGGGGTAGATTTGTACACCATTACAAAGAATGACATTTTTGTGAATGAAATTGATATGTTTAAAAACTTTGTAAAGAATTTAAAAATCAATTATTAAAGGATCTGATCCCCTAGACCTTATACACTATGGTATATGTGAATTACATGGAACTTTAACTAGAAATAGTAAATGTTATTTTATTGACTATTATTCTGATTATACTTATGTATATTTAATGAAGAATAAAAATGAAGCACTTCACATGTTTAAGATGTATGTAACTGAAACTGAGAATCAACTTAGTAAGAAGATTAAGAGACTTCGTAGTGATAGGAGAACTGAATACGATTCTAGTTTATTTGATGAATTTTATACATGGAATTGTACATGAAATGACTGCACCATACTCTTTTGAAATGAATGGTAAAGCAGAAAGAAAGAAAATAACTCTTATTGAACTTGTTGTTGCAATTATATTAAATTTTGGTGTTGCTTCTCACTGGTGGGGGAAATTTTGTTGACTATTTGCTATGTCCTGAATCGAGTTCCCAAGTTAAAAAGTAATATCTCTCCTTATGAGATATTAAAGAAAAGACAACCAAAATTGTCTTATTTAAGAACTTGGGTTTGTCTGGCATATGTCAGAATTCAGGATACGAAGCGAGTTAAACTTGCTAATAGAGCCTATGAATGTGTGTTCATTAGGTGTGAAGCAAACAGTGAGGCATATAGGTTCTATGACCTAAATGCAAAAGTGATCATAGAATCAAATGATGTTGAATTCTATGAAGAAAAAAATTTCCTTTCAAATCGAGAAATAGTGGGGGCACTCAATCGAGTCACATTCATGTGATAAGAAGCACAAAAAGCAACGACGATGTAGAAACAGAACTTCGAAGAAGTAAAAGAGTAAGAGTTTCTAAAGACTATGGGAAGAATTATGCGACCTATAATGTACAGGAAGATCCAATGAATCTTCAAGAAGCCTTGTCATCTCTGGATGCAGATATCTGGCAAGAAGCTATTAATGATGAGATAGATTCTCTAGAATCTAACAAGATCTGTCACTCAGTAGACTTGCCTCCTGGATGCAAACCAATTGGTTGTAAATGAGTTTTGAAAAAGAAACTAAAACCTGATGGAACTGTTGATAAATACAAGGCTCGCCTTGTAGCCAAGGGTTTTAGACAAAGAGAGAATATAGATTTCTTCGACACCTTTTCTCCGGTCACCAGAATGACATCCATTAGGGTACTTATCTCAATAGCTGCTATTTATAGTTTAATAGTACACCAAATGGATGTTAAGACAACTTTTTTCAATGGTGAATTAGAAGAAGAAATCTATATGGAACAACCGGAAGGCTTTGTGATCCATGGACCAGAAAACAAGGTCTGTAAGTTAGACAAGTCTTTGTATGAGCTGAAGCAAGCTCGGAAGCAATGACATGAAAAGTTTGACAACTTAATGATATCAAATGGGTATAAGATGAATGAAAGTGACAAATGTTTTTATTACAAATATGAGAATCACATTTGCACTGTCATATGTCTCTATGTAGACGACCTATTCATATTTGGGTCAAACATTCAGACCATCAATGAAGTGAAATCATTGTTGTGCAACAACTTTGATATGAAAGATCTCGGTGAAGCAAGTGTGATCCTTGGTATCAAGATCACGAGATCAGAACAAGGCATCTCCTTGGATCAATCACACTATGTGGAAAAGATCTTAAAGAAGTATAATTACTTCGACTGTAAACTTGGGTGCACACCTTATGATCCAAGTGTGAAACTGTTTAAGAACACTGGTGAAAGTGTTAGACAAACAAAATATGCGAGCATCATTGGCAATCTTAGGTATGTCACTGATTATACTAGATCCGACATTGCATATGCAGTGGGATTATTGTGCAGGTTTACGAGTAAACCGAGTTACGAGCATTGACAAGCTATTAAGCGAGTCATGAGGTACCTTAAAAGGACCATATATCTCAGTTTACATTATCAGAAATTTCTGGCTGTACTTGAAGGGTACAGTGATGCAGATTGGAACATATTATTAGATGATTCCAAAGCAACTAGTGGCTATGTATTCCATAGCTAAAGGAGTTGTACCTTAGAAATCAAGGAAACGAAGTATCATGGCTCATTCCATAATGGAGTCTGATATGATAACGTTAGCGAATGCTAGTGAAGAAGAAAGTTAGTTAAAATATGCCTGCTAACTAAGATTTCCTTATGGGAAAAATCCATGCCAGTTGTGTTGATCCACTGCGATAGTACCGCGGCTATTGCAAAAACTGAGAACCATTATTATAATGGTAAAAGACGTCAAATTAGAAGAAAGAACAACACTGTTAGAGACTATATCTCTAAAGGAGTTGTAAGAGTGGATCATGTACACACCGATGAAAATTTAGCATATCCTTTGACGAAAGGATTAGCTAGAGAGAAAGTCTATAATATATCATGAGACTAATGCCTATATAGAAATGAGTTTCTCATGATGGTAACCCGACCTAAATGACTGGAGATCCCAAGAAATAGGTTCAATGGGTAATAACAAGTTATGAGTAATATGAGATTATCATGCAAGTAAAGCATGAATCCTGAAGTAATTAGAGGATGAGATAATAGAAACTCTTAATGAAATCTATACTCTGTATAAGGGAGTACCTAGGCTACAGGAGTACTCTTGATAGACTCACCTATGTGATTGTGGAACTTAGGCCGGTTCCTATGGAATTTCGAGGCAGGATTCCTAGAGCATTCACTAAACCGGGATACACGTGCAGGGCCATTAAAGTACGGGCTATTAGAATACACCTTAAGAAAAGGTTGTGTGTGGGTTTGATGTCTGAGATAGAGTTCAAGACATTTGTGTCACTCTTGTTGAATCGGAATCCTACTTGCTATGCAAAGGTTCAAGTCGTAGACACCTTTGTTTATGCACAATCTTAGAAACGTTTGACGTTACTTCCAAATTCACCTTTTTAAATTCAAGTGGGGGATTGTTGGAACATGTCCATGTTCCATATTGAATTAAAAAAAAAATTCATTTAGTCCCACATTGCTCATGTGAGAAATATTAACCATCTCACTTTATTATATAAGGAAGTCACTTGTTTCCTTACAAAACACACCAAAAACATTTTATTAGTTTTTCCTTCCTCACTCTCATAACTCTGCGTCTTTCGAATTGTCGAAGCGCCAACTTCTTCCCCTTTCTTTCTACTCGTTGAATTTTCCGAGTATTTTCTTGAATTCTCTTTATAGAGAATAATGTTAATTTCTCCTCGTTTGAGTTGAGAAATTTTCAAGTATAATTTTTTTATTCTCTTTAGAGAATTATTCGAATTTCTCTTTGTTTGAGAAATCTTTGAGTGATCAAAAATGATCATTATTGAATTCTCTTTGAAGAATTATTGAAATTTCTCTTGGTTTGAGAAATATTTATGACTGGTAAATATATCAGATACTACGGTGGTATTTATACCATATTTGAATGGTCTTAGTACCATTAGAAGGTGTATTTCTAGACCGATTATCTATCGTGCAAGTAGTAATCGTACAGTATAGAACTGGGCTGTTTTATCCTGGAGGCGGCGTGGTAGTTCGACTGCTTTGCATAATTTTGGGCAGTACCGCGAAACGTCTTAAAGAGAGCGAACTGATCCGCGACTCAACCCGGTAATTTCTTCAGTGGCAACATTTTTTAAAATCATGAACCAACAAACTGGTTGTTGGTGAAACGGGTTGGCCTTCTTTGGGTGACCCGGATCAACCCGGTGTGAGTTTGGAGAATGCGGTTTCTTATAATGGGAATGTTATTAAGCATGTTAATTCTGGGAAAGGGACTCCTTTGATGCCTAATAGAACGTTTGAGACTTATATTTTCTCCTTGTTTAATGAGAATCTTAAACCAACTGTTTCGGAGCGGAATTACGGGTTGTTTAAACCCGATCTTACACCGGTTTACGACGTTGGTGTTTTTACCCAACAACATCAACAGGTAGTACCAATTTCTATATCAGTTTTGATCTTGCCATTCCTTATGCCTTGACTTGTTTATTAATTTAATTGTCTTTTGCCTCTTTTAAAAAAAATAGGTACCAATTCATTTTTTCAATTATTTATTTTTAAAAGCAAATAAAGGAGAATCTGTGTGTGAGCGTTTAATTCGATGCGTATGCATATATAGTGCTTTAGAATTTAGACGTCTACGTGACAAAGTAGTACACGACATGTTTAATGCAAGTACAACTCAACTCAGTCCCTATTTTATTCACATTGGTTTTTTGAGAGTTTGCATGGAAATTTATATTGAGGGCTATTTTGGTGATTTTGTTTTCATGTCGATGGTGTGGTGTCATGTCATGTCTTCTTACCACGCCACTTGCTAGCTTTTGGTTAAAATTTCAAAGGCAATTATAATATTTGACTAATAGTGTGTTTGGTTTGGCTCGGATTTTCAACGTGATTTTTGGAATTTTACCGCCAAACATAACATAAGGAATAGTCTGTGTCACTTTCTTAATTCCTTCATTCATTAATATGCGTACGAATGTTTGAGAGGCACATGCTAAAATTCTTAGAATAGTATAATTCCAAAACACATACTCTAAACTGCATTATAATAATTTGAAGTGTTTCTTATTTTTAGTACTGTTATTATATTTAGTGCGTGACAGTGTGAATGAATTCTAAGGTTTACAGTGTTGGCTAATATTTTGATGTAATGTAACCACAGACAATGGGGCCTGCGTCTGGGCCCATGGCAATGGGTCCGGCATCAGGGCCCGTGGCAATGGGGCCTACATCTGGGCCCGTGGCAATGGGGCCGGCAGGGTCCCCGGAGTCATCTGTTTCAAAGAAGTGGTGCGTGCCGAAGACTAATGCAACTGAAAAGGCATTGAAAGCCAACATTGACTATGTTTGCAGCAATGGAATAGATTGTGGGCCGATAAAGAATGGTGGGCATTGCTTTAAGCCCGATTCTTTGAGGTCCCATGCATCCTACGCTATGAACGCATATTATCAGCAATTTGGTCGCCACGATTTGGACTGTGATTTTGGTAACACAGGAGTCATTACTCACATAGACCCTAGTAAGTTTACTTACTTCTTTTATTTACAAATTTTACGTTATCAACCAAATTTAAATTCAACCAAATTTAAATTGATTGTTGGGAAGGGGAAACTAATGATGAGAATATTGGTGTTTGTGGCAGGTTATGGGACGTGTAAGTATCCATATGCAGCTACAAGATCAGGACAAAACGTCAAAAAGCCTGTTACAGATGGTGGTGGCTCACTCAAATCTGCTACTTCTAACCTTAGATTATATGACTCCTTATCTCATCTACAATTTCTTATTTGTCTTTGTCTATGTTTTCTCTAATTTATTATGTTGATGTTCCTAATTAAGATTATGGCATAAGTCTAGGTATCCATGTGAGCCGCGAATCGGTTTGCGCGTACCGGTTTGCAGTTCTTTTACAAACCAGTTTGCAAGAATTCTTGGAGAATTCGCAAAATCAATCGTACCAATGAACCTCTTAAAAAATTCATAGAACTGAAATGTTTGAACTTATTTAATGCTATAAAGGTATGTTAAAACTAATTGCTAGTTATGCATGGCTCCACATAGAGCTTGTTGCAAGCTTAAATGTGAATATTTAAACTCTTTAATTGCAAACTATGCATGGCCCCACTTAGAGAGCATGTTAACTGCTTGGCTTGAAATCATGTTGAAGTCTTCTACTTATATAGTACTTTTACTTTCATTTTATCTTTGTATCCGATGTGGGACTCAAGCAGTTTTAGCGTAGTATAACTTTTGTAATAGTTAAATTTTATTAATACACTAGTAGTATTTTTAAACTATCTATTTTATGCCATTAACTCATTCTTCAATAATAGCGTATCGATTATTATTTTTGAGCGTATCACAAATTCAAATAGCGTACTGACTATGTATACTTCTTGTACATCTAATTTTTTTAGAGTTGCGAACCACGTACCCGAATTCGAGGAGGGCGTCAAAAGACTTGGGGGGTTCAATATCGACGGCCTTTCTAAATTCGGTGTCCGGGAGGAGTCCCCTCTCGAGCAGGTATCTTTTCATGTGGTCAGCGCATGGGACCTGAATGGCCTCGCGGTTGAACCGACCAATGTACTTTTTGAGGGTCTCGTCGCTTCTCTGGACGATTGCTTCGAGGGCGGCCTCAGTCTTCAGATGTCGACGAGAGGCAGTGAATCTGCTGATGAATTGGTTTTTGAGGCTCCTCCGTGAGGTGATCGACCCAGGGGAGAGGTTCTTATACCAATCCATGGTTGTTTTCCTCAGCGTCGTGGGAAACAACCTGCATTTAATTGGGCCTCCGACATTGTGGTAGTGGAGCATCGCTTCAAACTCGTCGATGTGGTCGACGGGATCAGCAATGTCGTTGTATTCCTTAAGAGGGGGGCTTCTCCATTTCTTTAAGAATGGGGGCCTCCATGATGGTCTGGGATAGTGGACCGCGCGGGTCGTCTTCGTCACTTCTTTTAGGGGAGCGAGAGAGGGACTGGTCTTTGTGTCGGTCTTGGTCGTGGGGAGGGTTCCTTGGACGAGACTGCTTTTCTTCATTCCACCTATTTTTTTTTACGTTCAGGGGATCGTCGCTCCTTGCGCGGCGGGGGGAGGGGGGTGCTCATGCTTTTTAACAGCTTCGGGCTAGTTCCTCTCTAATGCAGGACCTCGCCCAGTTCGGAGGGGGAAAAGGCTTCAAGAGTCGTCATGTCTGTGTCTCCGCGGGGGAGACCGGAAGCGGTCCTCATTTCGAGGAGGAAGAGTTCGAGAATCAGGTCTTCTTTGCTTTCTGGGGGCTCGGCGAGTCTGCTCCACCATCATCAGTCGCTCATCCTGTGAGAAGATCATGTAGTTGGTCTGGTTTATCACCGGAACAGGGTTCTGGTCGTGGCATCAGCATCTCCAGGAATGGGGATCTCCTGATATGCGTTGGGCTCATAATTCTGTGGAGGATGATGGTCTTCGTCGCGTGGTTGTGAGCGGTTGGATGAAGAGGCTGTCAGTCTGTCCCTGTGGTCTTTCTCGGGGGCGACAACGTCGTCGTTATTGTGCCCAGCATTGGCGAAGTGAACGTTTTGGTCATTGTTGAAAGCTTGACCGGCCATGACAATCGGAGGGTTGATAAAGAGTTTCTTTGGTCTCAAGTGAAAGACGGGGAAGCTGGTTTCCTACAAACAGCGCCACTGATCGTACCTTATCTGATGAGATTGTCAAGGTCCGCGAGCTTTAAGTCGAGTCGTGGTTGAATGTGAAATTAGGGGTACCTGTAAGAAACTCTGATGCCAAAGTAATATTCAGAGTAAGTGCAAGTAAAGCTTAGAGTATGGGTGAATGAATGAATATCTGACCCTCTCAAGTGAGAGGGTATTTATATCCCCCATCGCTGGGCCAAGGACCCCATATTGGGCTGACAGAGCAGGCCCAAAATGGAGATTGTTAGGTCCTACGTGTGTAGTGGAGGCCAACATGTGGTCTCCAACCTGAATGGGCTCCTCCGAATCATCAAGAGGATGTGGACCCGGTCTCTTCGGGGTCATGGGAACTCTGGGATATTCTGAGGCGTTGGATGCTTGCCATACGAAGAGGGTGCTCGCGAGGACCTCCTGAGCGTTGTTGGCCCTCCTCGCCAATCATACAGTGAGATTGTCCTTGGAGGGCGTATCCTTGTCGACGAGAGGAATATAGTCACGGCCCGATATGGTCAAGGGCAGTCTCTCTCCTGCTGGTCTTCTCCTGTGGCATAGTTGGGTTGGGCCTTGTATGATGTTTAGGTCAAATGCGGGCCCAGTCCAGAATACTAAGACAAAAGGTTCGAGTCTTAATCAACAATTAGAGAATTCATAGTGTCAATCGAACGAAAAAACCTAGGCTTAATTAATAAACCATTACTGTGATAATAACTAACAACTTAAGATTCAGTGAAAGCGATAAAAACAACCTAAACATGTAATTCTACGAAATTAAAATATAGAGAGAGTGGGGAGGGGTATATAGAGAGATGGAGGGAGAGAGAGAGAGAGAGAGAGAGAGAGAGAGAGAGAGAGAGAGAGAGAGAGAGAGAGGAGAGAGAGAGGAGAGAGAGAGGAGAGAGAGAGAGAGAGAGAGAGAGAGAGAGAGAGAGGAGAGAGAGAGAGAGAGAGAGAGAAAGAAAGAAAGAAAGAAAGAAAGAAAGAAAGAAAGAGAGGGTGAGAGAGAGAGAGAGTGTGTGTGTGGTGTGTGATAGAGAGAGAGAGAGAGAGAGAGAGAGAGAGAACTGAGTATGTCGGATTTATAGTGGTTCGACTATCGTCCTTGCTACTCCTACTCCACTCTATTTTCCATTGAAATTTTTGGTCTTCTATTACAGTTTGTAACAAATTGCAAGATGTTATGTACAATCACAATCTAAATAAAGTAGAAAATATAAAATCTTCGAAAGCATCTTAAACCTTCCAGCCCCAACAATCCTGCAACATCTTTCCTTAATCCTACTAGTATCTTGAAAGTTGGTTTCTCTGAAGATTGAGAAGAACTTTCACTTTGTTTATAGGATTTCACATTTTTGTTGGACTTATCAAAACCAACCACAACCACACACACTTTGCAACCCTCTGAAATCTCAATAAATTTTCAAATAAATGCTAGTTACAATAACAAAATATCTTCAAAAATCACGCATCTCAAAAGATGAGATTTAGATTCACACAAAAATGGAAAAAGAATGAGGTAGAAGATGAAAGAAATTGTTTTCAAAAACACTCAAAACAGATTCAAAAACCTTTTTGAAAATGAAAGAACATGTGTGTTGTGAAATTTCAAACCAATAGTTGAAATGTATGTTTTCCAACATTGTGAAAGATTTTGAGTGAAAAGCTTTTATATGTATTGGAGATATAGCATAAAAATGAGTGAAAATGGTGTATGATTTGAGTCATAAGAAATAGATATTGTTGTACCATAAAATTTGCCCTCTTCATTCTTACCCTAATTGGCTTACGTTTCATCATCATATGCATACGTTCCAATAAGTCATTTATATAGCATACATTCGCATTCAATAAAAATACCATGAGGTTCAAGAGTTCAGTGGTTGTCTGAACTAGGGTTTTCACAGTGTTTGGAGACTACAAAGGTATCTCCTCAAGGGTTCTTATATGTGGCATTTAAATATGATAATCCATCAAATGGGATTCATTGGATTTACATGTTAAGGCTATCTAGGTCATTATTCCCCCCATGTCTCAAGTTCCATATCCATTTTCAAGAGATTCCTCAAGGCATAGTGTTGTACCCCAAAATTTGCCCTCGCGTTTTACCACAAGAAATCTCAGCTTCAGGCGTTTCCTGATTTTTTCAGATTGGCTCAAGAATCGGACAAACGAACTTTTCTCGTCAGTCAGGACACAATTAGGGTTTTACTGATTTTCAGGGCTCCGGAATGTTTCACACAAGTTGGCTTAGGGTTTTGGTTGATTCTGGCTCAATTGTGATCAGGCGAATGTTCGTTGGCATTTAATCAGGAATTAAGGTTTTATGGGCATATTCTCAGAAAGATTAAAATTCCACAGCACTTTGCAAATTATTCCGAGATTCGGTTTGTATTCGCATTGTTTTGATTTAATCAGCAAAAGAGACAGTTGGTTCGAATTCACGTTGGTTTGTTTGAGCCGGTCAAAAGAAATATGCAGTATTGGATTTACAGTGCTTAGTAAGAAATCAGTAAGAAAGGAATGCATCTGATCAGTTATTGCATTTGACTGTGCGTCGCTTTAGATAATGGATGCGCCAAGTTCATTTATTTTGATCAACGAAGAAATATTGTTTAGTTAATTATTTATTATTCTAAAGATTAAATAAGTTGGAATTTATTTTCAATTTATTTTAATTTAAAGAACTATAAATAATAAATGAACAATTGAAGAAGAGAAGAATTAATTAAATGAAAGGACTTTTTATTTATCTTTAAGTCATTTGTATAAATTGTTTTTGTTTACAAAATGTTGACAAAAATAATGTTACATTCATTTAAAGCTAAATAAAAGACTATCCTAATTATTTTTTCTAATCTTCAAATCTTCATCCGCTATCCCTCGCTCCGGTGCTCCATTTTTCATCTGCAAAAGAAAAGAGAAAAGTCAAATAACAGTTAAATTGAATTAAAGAGACAGACAGTTTAAATTAGACTCATCATTAAAAGCAACAACTGGGATCAGTTAGTCCCCTTTGCAAATCACGGGATTTCTCCCGGTTCACAAAGAAGAGTGAAAATGTTTGCAAATTATTTGAATGCACAAGTTTAAAAAATGCACAATTCAAAATTGTCAAAATTGCATAAGTTCAAATCTCAA